GGGGCCCGCGGTCCCGAGCTGTGCCCGGGTAGAATCTGCGCTCTCGCCTCCTCCGCCTTCCCGGCCCTCCCGCCGTCACCCCGGCCGGGTGGGCACCCGGGAGGTCGGAGAAGAGCACCGAGTCCGAGGGCGGTGCCCGGTGTGCCCCGCCCGCCCCTCTCCGCTCCCCGCTGCGGCAGGGGCTCGGGTTCGCCCTTCACGGGCCGCGGGACCGCCAGGTGCTCCCGCGCCGCGCCCGGGTCAGCGCCGCACGTCCCGGCCCGGCTGCGCTCCTGGCCCGGAAGGATCGAATCTGCCGCGGCGGAGGTCTCCGAGACCTCGAGCGAAGGATCCAGCTTCGTCTTCACCCAACATCCCGATCCACAGACGGCCGGGCCCGCGAGCCCCTCGCCGGGGGTCCCGGGGCTGCTCCGATCTGGATTCGCAGCTGCGCGGATGCTGGACCCCAAAAGCTTTCTTCCCGCAGGTGGTGAAGCATCTTAGGGGCCAGTGAGGCTCCAAATACAGCAAATGTCTGGATAACGTGAGGACCTAGATCGTGCCCACCATCGTATGCCAAGTTATCTCAGGGGTCAAACGCTGAAAAGCATTATAGGTCTCTCTGTGTTTAATACTGGACTCTGGGTTAAACAATTACTCCCCGGCTGAAATTTCCACATCAGCACACCTGGATAGTGCTTTGGTTCAAAAATTCTTACTTCACAGAGAAAAACAGATTAGAAAGTTCCAGAGCATGAGCTAAACATAACACAATATTTCCATGGAAGGCCTTCCATTATACAAATCGAACTTCTCTGGTATGTTTTCCACCAGATTAAGAAAGCCCAAAATAAATTAACAGACTTGACAAAATGTGGCTACTAGACACTTTCAAGCTTTTTTTGTGACAATATAAACTAGTATAGGGTATAGCCAATTGGAAGGGAAATTTTGCAGTTTTCCTACTCTAATATTTGCATGTGTGATATTTGCATGTTTCAAAGGAAATTTTGCAGTGTTCCTACTCTATTTGCATGTGTGCATCTGTGCACAAAAGCACATACAGAGAACTTATTAGGGATTTACAACTAATTATCTCCCATAATGTATATCTTTACCAAGGAATACTATGCAGCAGTTAAAATGAATGTACTAATGAGAAAAATGCCTAAAATACAGTGTTAAAAAAGTACAAAACTATATGGAGTCTGTATGCTGCTACTCTGACCAAAATAAAGTCCAGGTAGGCATATATGGGGTGTGAGTAAAAATACAGTGAGGCCGGGCCTGGTGGCACACGCCTGTAATCCCAGCACTTGGGAGGCTGAGGCAGAAGGATCGCTGTGAGTTCGAGACCAGCCTGGGCTACAAAGTGAGCTCAAGGTCAGCCTGAGCTGCATAGTGAGACCCTGTCTTGAAAAAGTAAAAAAAAAAAAAAAAATACTGAATCTTTAATTTTTTAAGAATTACTATAGTAAAAGACATGTTGCCATCAACCCCCCTCTAAAAATATTCCCCCTCCACTTGAACAGTCATTTTTCTTGCCATTTTCCGAAGTGGTTCCGGAAGAGCTCTTTCGTGAGTGTCTTTAATTGCTCTGTGGAGCTACCTTGTCCTGAGTCAACTCCAAACATTTACCTTTCATGGTCATTTTGACTTTGGGGAAGAGCCAAGAGTTACATGGTGCCAGGTCCGGTGAATAGGATAGACGGGGACACGCTGTAACGTTTTCAGGAGTCTGCTTTCCACTTGGATGGCACACGGCAGCCACACCGTCACAGTTTTAAAAACGCTTCATGAAGATATTTATCACCTCTTGTATACTTGTAAAGGCAAATGAAAAATGTCTCTGGATAGAGCAAAAAAAAAAAGGTAACAGTATTGTAAAGAAGAAAGGGATTTGGCTGGGGATGTAACTCGCTGCTAGGGTGCTTGCCTAGCATGCATGAGGCTGGGTCTAATCCCCACAACTGAGAGGAAAAAAAAAGAGAGATGGGAGTCAGGTATTCAGGGCTTACTTTCCATTGTCATTGTACTGTTTGCATGTTTTAATATGTGCATGTTTTACTTTTGAAACATTTTATGTAAAAACCCTATTTCACCCATAAGCTTTTAAAAGCAAAAGGGGGGTGGTATATAGTATACTGATAAAATGACAGCAGATATGAAAAACTATTTTTTTTTTTTTGTCTTTTTGTCTTTTTGAGACAAGATCTCACTATGCAGTTCAGGCTGGTCTTGAACTCACTTTGTAGCCCAGGCTGGCCTCAAACTCTGCAATGATCCTCCTGCCTCAGCGTCCCAAGGGTTGGGATTACAGGCATGCGCCACCACACCCAGCTCGGAACTACCATTGTGAACTATCACTTCCCTGCTCTCTAGTCATTTCTCTCCCACTCCTCTGCCCACAGTGCTCTCAGCTTCTCTCGCTGATCATCCGTACCCCCAACTCTCTCACTTACCAAAGTACTAAGACCCTTCCTGGTTATTCAGTTAAAGTCTTGTGTGGGTTTTTATTAATCTTCCTTTCTTTTCCGTGTCTTCTTTAGGCCAGCCGTCAAATCATACTTTTCTTCTTAGATTCTGATCTTTCTCATCCTCCGGCCAGTTCTCCTGCACCTCTCTCTCCACTCTGCACACCTGAACTGCAGCACAGCTGCTTTGAAGGGGACTACACAGATCTGCAGGTGACTTACTCTTTTTGAGTGCTGTCCTTGAGGCTTCCTTTGCGTGAGGGGCAGCACAAACTATGGTGCTGGCTCACAGCAGCTTGGGATGGGAACCTAAAAGCGGAGGGATGGAAGTGCATGTGAGTTGATGTCAGTGTGTGTGTTGGGGTACAGGGTTAAAGGAGGGGTTTTAAGTTAGCAACAAAATAAATCGTTAGGTATGGAAGACCATGAATGTTATGATTTCTATGGGGGTTGGGAAGCTTTTAAAGGCTTTTAAGCAGATATGGCATGAAAATTGGGTGGAATTTTTAAATTAACTTGTTTCTGTGCTAGCCAAACACTCAACACTGAGCTATGTCCTCAGCGGTGGGTTTCACTTTTTAAAAAAAATACTGCACTGGGCTAGGGATAGAGGTCACTGGAAGAGCACCTGCCTAGTGTGCGTGGGGCCCTGGGTTCAATCCCCAGCACTGGAAAAAATGAATTCTCCATTATTCTACTATTTTGTGAATGTTATCCCTTGGCACTTACCTACCTAGTTTGGAATGTCAAAACGCCTTTTTCCCAAATCATTTCTTTTTCAAATTTGAATCAAAATCAAAACAAGGAAGCCTAATCTACTCCTATTCCCCATGAGTCCACAGACCTTCAACACTCTTGCCTTCACTGTGGTATCTTGCGCCTGGCAGTGTTGTTTAATTGCCCTTCTACTGGTTTCTCTGTTTGCTTTTTCAGTCTTGGGGATCAAACCTAAGGCCTTGTGTTTGTTAGGCAAGTGCTCTACCACTGAGCTACATCCCCAGCCCATGTAATCACTCTTTCCCCCGGGGCATGAGCTTTCTCACATCGCCTACTTCATGAAGTCCAAACAGTCAACAGCCCTGTCTCTCCAAACACACACAGTTCAAGTTTGGGTCAAACAAGCTCAATGAATGTTTATCATTTCATATTTAAAATATAAGCTTGTTACCACTGCTCCCTAAGCTGACCTGGTCTCCTCCCACATTGACTCCATTACCCAAAAAGAGGTGAAATTCCAAGCTAGGTCAGGTACCAGTAAGCATGCTGCATAGTATTTCAGTCAGTACTGTGAGACATCACTGGCCCTTAACTCTGCTTAGTCTAAGACCAAGCAAGGTATCGTTCTGCTACTGTGTTCTGAAGAAGAAGAAAAACAAAGGGATACGGCCACATATCCCTGAAGTTTACTCCTGGTTGGGAGCCCCCAGTCATTCAGCAACCTTGGGTATGAAAATCAAGAAAGCTCCTGGATCTAAGAGCCCCTAGGAAAGAGGGAAGATGAAAGTGAAGTAAATTCCGGGGCTGTACAGGATTTTGTACTGACAGACTCTGTGCTGTTGGGTATAGGAAGTTGGAGGCCAAGGGACAGTGAACGGCACCGCTTATTAATAATTGACCCAAGTCTCTGACGGGCCAGGATTACCAGTCATAAAGAGTCTCTATGGGAACACAGTCAGGGGAAAGGCGTCCAGAGAGCCAGGAAGTTCAGATTTCCACTGCCGGGCCCAGCCCTCCTCAGCTTTCGAGCTGCAGTTGTGCAGCCTCCTGCAGGAGTCTCGTTTTCACTGATTATCACTCCTTCCTCTCCGCTCCTGTAGCACTTAGTGTCTCACTGCTCAGCTGAACACAATGACCTACTCGATTTCACACACTAGCGTTTGATGTTTTGTCAGTCTTGTCTTCCCAAACACTTATGCTTTTATTTTCTTAAGATCAATTTCAGCAGGCGTTTATGTACTGAACAGCAGCACCAGGACCGCAACTTGAAATTGGGAAGGTGGAAGAAATACAAGCTGATCTGGCAGATTATTTCCCCACTAAGGGCAGGAGTATAGTGACTGCGTAAGTGGTGAGCAAAGTGGTCCGTTGGTCTACTGGAGAAATCTAGAAGGTCCCCTTCGACCACACTTTATTCCCCAGTATTTCCTCCCCACACACACTCAGGGGTGCTAGCATTGGCAAATACAAACCAAGCCCACCCAGTTAGACTTGAATTTCAGATGCATAATGAAAATATGTACTCAGTATAAGCATGTCCCAAATATCACACAACGCATACTTGTACTAAAATTGTTGTTTATCTGAAATTCAAATTTAACTTCAAATTTCTTATTTTATCTGGACAGCCTGCCTCCACTTAATAACACAGCCTGGATATAACGTATCTCAAGACCTCGCCCTGTTGTCAGAATAGCTAATGGTAATAGCTTTTACCTATAAAGTGCCCAATAACTGTGAGGTCAGGGCTTCATTTAATTCTTGCAATAATCTGTAAAATAGATATAATTCTCTTCAGAGGAAAAATGTAACTACCAGCACTCTTCTTAACCTCCACCTCAAGATTATATAACATGCTCACAACTGTAGGGTTAGACATCCACCAGCCAGAATGAAAAGTAGGATCGTTATTGCACTGGCCACAGGTAAGCCCAGAACACGTAATTTACAATTTCATAAAATAGCTGACTCATTCATTTTTTGTTTTTCTTTTTTTCAGGCAGGGTCTTGCTTTGTAGTTCAGGCTGGCCTTGAACTCACAGTAACCGTCCTGCCTCAGCCTCCCAAATACTGGGATTACAGGCATATGCCAACACGCCGAACCTGACTTTCTCTTTTACCAAGAGGAGATACTTTTTTTTTTTCAAATTATCTTCGAACAATGTAGTGAAAAAAGAGAAAAATTATATTTATGAATTAACTTTTCAAATAATGTTGCAAAAGTCTAAATCTCCCTGCCCTATTTTAAATCCAAGATATAAAAATATTTTAAAGAATACTTTGCAGCAGGCACAGCTTTAGCAGTGTCACCCCACTGTAGATTTCAGCTGTGTGAGCAACTATCTCTCCTTTTTAGATTTTTTTTGTTGTTGTTTTTTATGTTTTTTTCCAGTACCGGGAACTGAACTCATGACCTTGTGCTTACCAAGCAGGCACTGTGCCGCTGAGCTAAATCCCCAGCCTCCTTTTTAGATTTTTGAGACAAGGGCTCACATGTAGCCCAGGCTGGCCTTGAACACACCCTCCTGCCTCACCCTCTCGAGTGCTAGGATTACAGGCGTGTGCCACCATTCCTGGCTCAACAGATCATTTAGTGGTATTTTTGTTTTGGTCCCAGGAGTTGTGTAGGTGTTTATATTAGGCTTGATTTGCAGATTTTCTAAACCTAATTCTTTCAGAGTATAAGTGTCTTCTTGTCTTCTTGTTTCAGAGTCAATTTTGTGTTTGTAAAAATAAAAATTTCTTCAATTTTTTATGCCTCAAAGATATTCAAAGTTAAAATAAAAATTCACTTATTAATGGTATCATGGCCTGTGTGTTTATCAAAATTAAATGTAAGCTTTCTGAAGCCGTTATTTTGCTCAGACTGTTTGAATATACCTGCAGAGTAACTATGAACTGCGGGTAAGAAGTTGGGTGATACTATGTAAGTACGGGTAATGTTTCTAAATATGTATACACAAACAGAAATATGACAAATACTGGAAATATGAAGCATATTAAACTTAAATTCTGCTCCTTGCCCTCAAATCTTGATTATATTATTCTAGAAGAGTGCGTGATCATCTGAGGCTTATGGAGATAAAAAATTAATGAAGCAAATCTTTCAAGAAACCGAAACAGTTTGAAAACACTGCCTTGAGTGATGCTAGATAGTGAACACAGATCTGAAAATCTTTTAGTCCAAAGATAAGAGCTGCAAAAGAAACAAAAACAGCTTTGGGCGTGCGCTTCACAGCACACATACTAAGAACAGCTTTTAGAAATGGCAGAAGTTTCAGTGATAGGGAAATACAAGGAAATATACTTATATTGACTTTTAAACCTTTTGAGAATTATAACTAGTGTCTGTGTATAGAGTACTGTGTGATGGGCAGAAAGCCCACCATGTTAGAGATCACTGTGAACTTTAAATATTAAAGCAAGCAGCTTTTACAGTAGAGTAAAATAAGCTGGTCAA